AAAACATTTCTCAGGATTATAGAACTACTTGGATGAATCTATATAATCTATATGTAGACAAATATCACTATATATATATTCTTCCCATTTCAAAGAAATACTAAGTATTGTGGGATGAAGCCTTTTGGAAGATTTGAACTCCCAATCAAATCACAAGCCAACTATTTATAGTCAGCAATGCCTCTAATAAGACACAGGCAGCCCTAGGCACGACACAGATGCATGGTGGCAAATTGAGATTTGGAACAGGAAGGAATATGGTGGAAACAGAAGCACGTCTTGAACGAATCTTTCCTCCAAACAGACGAGAGCCCAGCTTCTCAGCCCTGCCTGTATCTATTTTCTGCAGGGAGGACAGTCAGCTTTAAATCTAAAATCCACTGCTTGCTTTTTTCCTGACATTTAACACTAGGTTTTTAGTAAATAACAAATCCTCTGTCAATAATTTCTTAGAAATGTATGGACAAGTCCTCTGAATTCAAATATACAATACCGTAAGGCTGAGTGACAGCTACTTCCAGCACAGCCTCATTTACACTAACAGGAATAGCAGAGAATTGGCCTGACCTTCTTGTTAACACACAGGATGAAGCAGAAGAGCTCCCTGAACTGTGTCAGACAACAGCTCTGTCCTGCTGTGGTATCTTGACACTGCTCTCCATCCCARCCACCAAGGGAGCAGAGAGTTAGGTTGGGTATTTGTGCTTGGGGTAGAAGATGAAGGAACAAATGTTATGCAGTTAGCACAGTCCCACTTTGGCATCTTACAGTTCAGTACTAGGACCACTATGCCCTACAAGGAAAATACCATCAAGGCCTCATCAGGAAATTCTGCTGTTTTATCATCAGAGAGTTATCTTGCCAGCAACGTAGGGGCCTTCAGAAAAGCCAGCTGAGAAGCCACGACTCCAGGCTACTACTTAATTTCATCTGGATGTCTGCAGCAGGCAGCATTTCCTCACCAAAGCACATTAAAAAATATTAATGCCATTAAATTAAAAGCAATAGCAATCTGTTGCATCCATTGATGCATCCATTTATCTGCATGCAGGGTGTGCTTCCTGCTACTGTCCCAGGTCCAGCTTAACACCACTATGGGTCCCTCTGTGCACTGCTAGTGAAACCATAGAGAAGCAGGGAGAATGAAGATCCTCCTCAAATGATCCCTCCTCATAAAAACATTGAGGCATAGAGAGATGGGAAAGAGCAGCCCAGGTAAAGTATCTGCAATAATGGCATTTTATGATCCTCAGTTCAAGCACTTCATTTTATTATGTATAAATATTACCTCAAGCTGTTGCAAAATAAAAATGCAAATTAAGCCAGGTCCAACCAATATTTTCATCTTCTCACCACAAGTTACAGCAGAAGTTACAGTTGCAGCACAAGTTATTCTGCAGAGCCTCTGCTTGCATCTGGCTGGCCACTGACTCCATATACTGTCCTCTGTATTTCAGATAACACCTCCSCTGATGTCTCCTTCAGACAAGACTCCTCCCTAGGAGGATTAAGCTACACTTATTCAGTTATTTAAAGTCTTTTTTCTTTTTTTTCTGAAAGAGATGAAGCTAACAGACACACACTCCCCATGCACTTCTGTTTGGCACCAGCTCCTGCTATGCACAYACGTGCTATTCTGTGATACAGAGCAGCTACACAGCATGAGAACAGTCCCTGGAGACTCTCCTCTGCCTTCGTGCACACAGATCTTCCTGCAGGACAGGAGAGCACCTCGGAAACAAGGAYAGTGGACAAGCGACAACAGGCCCACACCTGTGCCAGGCATTGGTCTGTGCTCCCTTTTCCTTTGCTCACTGTTTATCTCTATTTTTGTGCAATAAAATCACATTAATTAAACCATGAATGAAAAGAAAGGCCCCCAGTCAATATTTGCATTTGGAAAAGACTTAGTTGGAACAGTTCAGGAATTGATTCTGCTTTATTAAAGCAACTGTTCAGCCAGGGAACATTTTAGCAGCAATCAATATGTAATTCAATCTTTATTGATGTTTTACAATTGCTTTGTTTCCCAGCAGCTATACTGATAGAGTCAGCCTCTTTTCTCAGCTTTACCACCAAACTTTAGCGAGTTGATGGGCACGTTGCCTTGCATCCCCAGCCTGCAGTGTGTAAATCATCAGTGACACTGACCCAGCTCTCCCTCCAGCCCACGGGGCTAGGCCTGAGGTTATTATGCCTGAATAACCAGGCACTGGAGCCTCAAGACARCATAGGCAACACATCCTTCACCGAAATCAGCATGCAGCACTGCACCGTAACACCTCAGAAGAGCAGAACTTCGGTCTGGTTTCCCTCTTTGGATTAAAAGTCCCCCAAAGGCAGGAACCTTGCTTGAGGTGTGTCCTGACTGACAACACTGACCTAGTGGGTCCATCCCTACAAGATGTTCGTGCCCCTTTGGCCTTTCCTAAAGGATTCCCTGAGCCTATATGTGCACCAAAGCCTCATCACAAAGATCTAGTGGAAAAAGGGAATTTCTGCAGGGCAAAGATGGGGCAGAACAAGAACGAGCATCTGCAAAGTGAGCGTCAGCCCTCAGATGAGAGTGACAGGGACAGAAAGGGGGCACCTTGTCAGAAAGCAGACACCTTGCCAGTAAGGACACCCTTGTTTCAAAACAAACAAGGGGGAAGGCCCACACTGCTCGACTTACTGTCCTGTGCTCGTCCTGCCACTCTCCCAACRGAACCTCATCATGCAGATGAGCTTTGCGTGTTGCTTTATCATAAGTAACATGGAAAAGAGCAGGGCACAGAGGCTGCTCATTCTCCTGCTTCAGTGGACAGGTTCATATGGCCCTGGGGGAGGGCACGGGGGGGGAGCATTTCGGGGTTTAAACGGGGGTTTCGGGGTTTAAACACCCATCCGCCCAGGCCTGGGTGCGCTGCTCCCCACGGGCCTACTCGCCTRCGTAGGTGCAGGCCGGCACTCTCCCACAAGATGGTGGTGTAAGCAAAGCTTTAACCACGGCGAGCAGCCCAGGCCTCCTCTCCCCAGCAACCAGGTTMTCTGCTCAGACTTCTCTTAGTCAGATGCTGAACCTGCTCTTAAGAAAACCAGGGGAAAGCTTATGATCATCAGTGTCAATGAGAACAAGGTGCTCTCCTAAAAGACCAAGCAAGGCACCTGGCAAGTGCAAGGGACATGCAGTTCCCATCCTTAGCAAAAAGCCTGGCCAGCTGTAGATGCAAGCAATGAAAAAGCATAGTTAAAAATTGTCACTAAAATTTGAGTATTTAAAAACATTAYCTTTATTTTGCACCTCAATTTACTGAAAGAGGAATGTTTAAAATGAGAAAGATCATCTCTATTTGAAGAGAGAATGTATTTCTGCCTCCAAATACATCTCCTTGCTCATCATAAATTCATTCTTTTCCTCAACTACATTTCTGTCCTGGTCAGCCCCAGCCAGATACCAGGGTATCATCATATGAGACACTGTCAAGTTTATAATGAAATCAATCCATGTGCCAGAATCACTTGTTCAGGCAAGCAATGCAGCAACATGTGGCAAGGGGATGAATGAAATATAGGACCAAGTTTGGTAAGTCACATCATGCTTCCACAAAGCCCTGACTCTGCAGTGCCTTGGGAAGCTTGGATGAGGCTTGACAAACATTCTCAGAAGCCTGAGTTTACAGGGGGCACTCCTCCTAAGGTTGCTTAACCCTAAGCATTCAGCATTTTTGGCAAGGGTGCAATTGGCAGATCCTAGCATGTGGAGGGAAGAAGGATGGAGGAGCTCAAAGAAGCCCTGAAGACCATTCAAACAGTGCATGGAGAACACTGGCATGATCTCTCCAACTTGGCTTGCAGTGTATTGGAGGTTGAGCCCTATAGCCCTGACATCCTGTCAGAAATGGGACAGTCCCTGACTGAGAGCACTTTGTTGACCAACATCCTGTGAGGACTAAGTGAAGTACACTCAAGTCTGGAGAAATTCCTCCTATTTGTTTTGCTTAAGTGAGAAATGGAGGTGTTGTTGAAAACAGTGACTTAAGAGAGCCAAGAGATAGGCACAGTTGCCCCATTCACATCCACCCGAGGGACACAGATACCACACACAGCAGGTCTGGGGTGTTGATCACTAAGGTATTTTGAACAGCACATTCTTACTGCAGAGGTTATCAGTGGAAGGCAGTAACCAATCAAAAAAATTACTGTGCTGAACATACCAGCTTTTAGTAAATAGACATTTAMATGAGATTCTCTGAGCTTGAAAGGGGAAAAATGAACCATTGGTCAAGGCAAATCTGAACTTCTCAAAACATTTCATTCTATTTTCACTGTGTCACTAATCCTAATTCAGACCCATACATACTCAGCACACAATAGGGGCAGTCATAGGGGAAGAACTCCTGAGATAGTTCACTGATAGCTGAGATGAGTGTAGGAGGAAAAAGGACTACCTGAGAACAAAATATCTGTATTCCCAAAAAAGGCCCAATTTTCCCACCTCTTTACAGTCTGACATTGAGGTCATGCCACAAGCTTGGAGATTTCCCTCAGCTTAGACCTATACAAGCAAGAGGAAAATCAGCGACATTTCTTTTAAAGCATTCTGCCATTCCCCTTTCCTTCATGAGCCCTTGCTGAAGTCATACAACGGAAGACTAAGCCAGGTACCTCAGGATTCTCTGTTCTGACCTATGCCCTAAAGGTGTGTTAGTAGCTGGGACTTTCTGGACCGACCTCCTAGGAGGAAGCAGATGTAGTTAACTACATTTGTACAGTTGTTGAGCTGTTGAAATTCTTGCAGAAGATTCCATGACTTGAGGAAAACTTTAACTGTCTGTTCAAGTGACATCTTTCACAGTGCATTAAAAGGAAAGGGAAATTGCACAGAACAAAGTGGAAACAAACAAAAAAATCAAACACAAAATAGGAATGCTTTTAACTGTTTAGAACTGAGGAGCTTTTAATGAGGACCAAGCATGCACAAACCACAGGAAGCTTTGAAGATCTTGACCTCTTAACCTGATCTTGTTTTCCACTTGGCTTGATGGAAGGATTTTCTAAATGTACATTTTCAAATACTTATTTGTAGGTAATTTGCTCTGTATTCCTTTCAATATCTTCCTCTTCAATTTTTGTCAATCATCACTGCCACAGAGAGTCAGCAAGGCTGTCTTGTAATCACCACTTGTGTCATCCTGACAGGGGAAGGCAAATAGAAAAAGGTGAGTACTGAAGTTCCTCTGAGCACCCCAATTGCTGCCTTTTTCAGTCCATGAGATACCTCCATGCATGAAAAGACTTTGCAGAGAGCAAGGCAGACTTCAGCAGAGTTATTGCCAACTGACACACCATTAAAAGGGCACAGAGAAATGAGGCCTGTAGCTGCCACCTGAAATAATATTTATCAAGTCCAATTCCYTTCTTTGAAATTCAGGTGAGCAAGTGATCAGGCCTACATCCCACAGAGTAGCCCAGAAAAACACAGCATGAATGAGGGAAACCAAGCCTTTAGTGTTCAGCTTTAAATCCCCTGGGTGTCCCTGTATTGTTCTTTCTCTTACAGGGAAGGATGTGAGGCTGTTAGCCTCAACACCTGATATAATTCAGAAAGTCACAAATATGGTCATTTTGACCTAGAAGAGTACTGCATGAAATGAACATTTTGTTCCCTTTGATTATTTTGCATTGACAGGTGTAAACCCATCTCCACTTTTCAGAAGGAATGAATATTCCATACAGACCCTTGAAGGCTGATCATTAATCAACATGACAGATACTGACAGTGTCAATTAGAAGAAAGGGCCTTCAATATACAGCAAGACTTCTCATGGGAATTACTAAGGGTAAGACTTTTGTGCCATATGCACTGGGGGAGAGGAATGCACCAGATTCCTTATGATAAATTATAAAACAGCATTCTGGCCCCCTTAGGGAGCATAGTTTTCTGCTACAGTTTGTTCATTCAAACCTGAGATTCAAACCCAAAAAGTTACAGTAAGCTTTGACAAGTTTTGTTTCTAGACTTGTCTCATCAAAATATGGACAAGGCCTCATCTGGGATAAACTGGTTTAATATAGATGGCCACAACTGCTTAAACTTATATGGTTCTAGTTTGAAGTTCAGGACAGCAGAGAGGAGGAAACAGCAGTGTGTGAAGGGAGTGAAAGGAAGAATCTAGATTCATCTAGGAGATCATMAAATGTATGGATGCAGTCTGGTCAATGAGAAGCCTGACACTTTCTCTTCAGGTTTGGATTTGCCTGTATCATCACAATCTGCCCCATGCTTCAAATACATATCTCTCTCAAGGAGAGAATTTCTAATAGGCCTGATSAAAGCAGAGCTATGATCTTTGGAGAAATATTTTTACTGAAAAGAATCATGAGAGTGTCTCACAGGTTAGGAATGACTGAAATGACCAGAAACAATCATAGCAAGATGAAGCTTACCAGAATCATGCTGGAAAGGGACTGTCCTGCAATCTTCTTGAACTCAACCTTTATAAGGTTTAAATCAACTTCACTGCGGGAAACAATCACCCTTATAAGAGTCCCATCATCAGTGCCAGCCCCCTAGAATAAATAGATTTATCAGTCTATGGTGACGGAGGGTGTTCAAGGGATAAGCTGTCACAGACTGGTGTAGAAGAATAGTCAGTTTTCAAACATCGCTTGATATATCTTCTRCAGCCTGTCATCTTGGACCTGCTGTTGGCACCAAAAGCCATTTATGGAATTACATTGCAAGTCTTTGTAAAAGTAAACATGCCACAGAGCTGCAAGTGGAAACTGAATACGTACTGCCATTCCCCAGCACCACCCCTGGATTTAGCCAATATTGTGTAWTTTTTCATTCCCAGTAATATTAGGCTCACATTGATAACAAAAATTTTGGGAAAATCAGTTCTCAGCATTCCAAAGAGTTACAACAGCTGGCATCTCAACTTAGAAGTATTCATCTCAACTGATACTTCAATAGAAATTCTATTCTATTCAATAGAACTTCTATTGAAGTATTCTTCTGTAGAACTCTTATTTTATACCTCTTTGAGAGAAATAGAAAAGAAGTTGTCATCCAGTCCACTAAATTCATATCATGAACAAAACTCCAGCATGAAGAATGTCCTAGGAAAGTCTCTTCCAGAAACCTCATTCAAATAGCAGAAGGTAGGACTGGTCTGCATGTGGCTTCCTAAGTTAGAAAAGCCAGACTCTTCTGGTATCTCAAGACTAAAGAGTACTTTTTCTATCTAAGGTTTTTGAAGCAAATCATGTGTTAGTAGCAACAATAGTGCTAACATTGCTGGATTTCACCAAAAGTTTGGCTCTTTTATTGAAGTAAGTTAGATTACAGTTATTGCCAATATAAAAACTGTGTGTTGTAATGAAGTCTTACCTTTAAAGCATTGTACAACCTCTCTGCAAAGTAGCAGCGGATGTTCCTGGTGCACTTCACTAGGCAYATGAAAAAACTCAGTAAGTACCAATGATAATCCCAGCCCAGATCAGAAGGTGTTAAAAATGCAACATTCCATTAATTCAGTCCCTCTCTCAGATCTTAGTTTAAGTACACCCTTTACTTCCTGCCCACTGGCTTAATAAATTAGATCCAACCCCAATATCCAACTGCTGTGGGAAGAACAGACACAGATTCAGACAAGAGTAAAGGAAGCATAGTAGCTCTTACCAATAGCCAGCATGGCATCCTCCAGTGAACCCCGAGTTTCACTCTTGATAGTGTCTTCTATGCTCTTACCAGCAAGTTTCTGGTATTCTTCAAACACTGTTTAAAATACAAGGCACTCAAAATTATCCAGCAACTATGCAGGCATTTTGCACCCAATATTTACAGGTATTGCTTGGGTAGAGATATGGAAACACAGATCCCACTAGGACAGCCTAAAGTGGTGGCCACAATTGAATCAGCTTCAGCAAGCTTTAGTCATGCCCAGAAATAGGCTACAAAATAGGGTAGCAACATTCACTAAATCCTGAGGAAGCAGTAAATAACTGCATGTGCACAGAGCAGCTAATGAAACTGAGGCACTTAATTCCCTATCTTCTTTTGAWACACAAGTTCAATAATTTCATGCGTATTTGGAAGTCTGGCCCTTCAGTACAGCTTAACCAAACTGAAGCAAGCCACAGAAAGGTAGTCATAACTACCATTTGATCTCATGTTTGTTCACATATCTAGTTTCAGGAAACAAAATAAAATCAGATGAAATCTAGAAGAATGCTGCTCATGGCTCTTAAATGATTAAAATAGAATGAGAAAAGTTAAAAGTCCAACTTTTCCAACTACATTTAACAAAGAAAAATCTCAGAAAAGACAAGTAGAGCACAGATGCACATTCCAAGATATTTGAATTCCCACATTAACAAAATATCTTCAGCACAGTTGCCATCGCTTCCCTTGCACACTCAGAATCTCTGGGGTCTCGGAGGCCCCAGAGGTCTCTATGGCATGGGTCAGGTCTCAGTTTTGATTTCTAGCTTTTAAACTAGCAAAGGACAAGAGCTGGGTAATGCAGTGAACATCATGTTTAAGTTTCCACATTTAATATTAATTCCTTAAAAACTAGAAAAGGCTACAGAATAGCCAGATCGATATGACCTTCACATGTCAGGCCTGCTCTTCATATTCACAATATATTAACTGCAATAAGTATGCACAAGTCCTAAATTGTTACTTACAACCTGACTCAGTGCACAGGAATACACAGATTCATTTACTTGGTGATAAGGTATTTCAAAGGTTGGTTGCATCCAAAGAGAGCTTGAAGTTCAGTTCTTAAAGGCTGAAGCAGTCAAAGACCAGAGACCACTTTTTAAGGGATTCTGAGAGATTACATTTGAAAATGTGATGACCAACTGGCCTTCAGGACATAGGAAAATGTCTCAGAGACCTCAGTTTGAAAAAAGCTCAGCTATACCTAATTTATCATCATCTAATTTAGCTCTGGTTGACTTACACTCTACTTGATGTGCTCAGGCCTGGTCTACATAAAGTCTGTTAGTCAGAGGCTTGGACTACCTCAAGACTTTGAGGCCAGAAGATATATCCATCACTTCGTTGGTGATTTTCTCCAGAAGAACTCTTAGCTAAGGAATCACAGGTCTAGTCACTGCATAATCTTATCTGTTTGGAAGGGCACTGTCTCTGTTCCCTGAGGCTTAAAAGAAAAGCTATACTCTCTAGCCATCAATACAGCATCAGGACTTTGAGGTAATCAGCCTGATTTCAGTAGCAATGAATCTCTTCACAAGCTCTCAAGTGTGACAACTCTTGGGTATTGTGAACAGCCAAGAATTAGGCCACGCACTTAGTTGCTTAGTCCTGACCACCTGCCTTTGCCATCTGCAGCAGTGCCTCTTCTTTTTGGAGAGTCTCATTTCAGAGATTGGTGAGCAAGGGCTCTCCTCCATACCTTTCAGCAAGTGTGTAGCACTCCTGGTGCACAGGATGGTGATGAACGGTATCTCATTTGTGCCCTTTATCTTCTCTCCAGCAGAATACAGAGCCTGCAATTTAACAGGTATATTTACTGTAGATGTTGTATGCATGCATCTGCTGAAGGAATGGGGTGTGACATAAGACACTGCTTGGAGAAGAGGGATTGAAATAATCTAAAACACCATATGAAATAGACTCTCCTAGAATGGGTCAATGCATAAATTCTCAAATATATTCTCTAGACAAAGTTCTAGGCAATAACCTTCATCCCCCCTTCTATCCTGTCTGAAGCAGCTGGAGCAGCTAACAGTCTTTAGGGTCCTACTCATTCTTTGCCATCTTATTTATCCAACTACTATATCCATGTACTTCCACATACTAAAAACAGCTGACTGTGACCCACTGTGATAACTCCTGCAGAAATGCAGGCAAAAGCAGAGAACCCAAAGCTGCTTGTCCTTGCAGAAGAGTCCTCTCCACACTACCATGGCTCTAAATCCTGCTGACCAGGATTTTGTTGCCCAAGCATTCTGAAATTCAAGGTAACTGAGATACAGGCATACCACTGATCACAGGCATTTCAGAGTACCTCTGCATCCTGGAGAGCCAGCGCAGTGTCCACATAGAGAGTAGCATTGTCCCTCTCACCCTACAAGAATAAAAAAAAGTGACCATTTGCTTTCATGAAGTATCTTCCATACAAGGATCACAAGGTATGTTATAGACAAAGATGAATTCTCCTTTTCAGCTTGCTATATTTGCAGAGTACTTGAACACTAACATTTCAGAAAACATAAGAGCTAACTCCTTGACTGAAATGCTCTGATATCACTCGCATTATTAGAGAAAAATGCCAAGTTATTCTGCTGCTGAAAGATTTGGTAGTGTAAATGCATCCAAACGCAATCTTAGTATTGTGGGGGCAGAATCTGGAACAGGGTTGAATCATAGCTCAGGGCATTGGTTTCCAAGACCACTGGAGAGATTGGAGAGTATAGACACTGCAATGAGTGTGTTTATGCATCTGGGGTTGTGAGGTGCCACCTCACAGCAGCGCCGACAAAGTTTCCATCTCTTACTGGTACTAAGGAAATGGGAAGCTCCCTGCTTTTGTCACTTTGATTTTCAGAATGTTTAGCTTCAAGGTGACACGTTGGAGTTTGTCTGCTGCATTGCCTGTGCTTATGGCTTCCCTGAGAAGAAACCATTAAAGTTTTTGGATCCCCATTTCTCTTTTCTACCATTACCTGAAGAAGGCAAACTAGAATCTGTTCAAAATAGCCACTTGTTTCTGATTTTATGTCTTCTTCCAGATCAGAATTGTATTCTACACAAGGGGGAAAAAAGGACGAGAGAGAAGAGATGTATTATTTGGATGACAAACTCAGGATGTCATCAGCCACCCAAAGACAAATCTGATGTTAGTCAATAAGGTCAGCAGGGAAGGACCCAGGGGTGAGATCAGCCCCCATGCGCAGCGACACCCAGGCTGGCATTCCTATCTGTGGCCAAATATAACAATAGATCCGCTGACAACAAAGGCATAATCCAATACTTATAGCTAGAGGTGTATTTTAAGGGAGCAAAGGGATGTCAACATGTATTGACATATTTGTCAGTTTCCCATCTACAGTATATTTAAGGTGTAGAAGTGAAGCATCTAYATTTTCATCTGTTCATTGAAAAGAGTCTGTGTCCCAGCACAGTGCGTTTTACTGACCTTTTCCATCAACGGGTTGGAAAGAGAAAGGGATATTCAGATTTACTCATCACAGACATGTTCTGTTYACCAAGCAGAGTTCAGCTGTACCTTCTTAATTTTGAAATCCTATTTTGCTGCTGACAGTGTTAGTTGGTAACTTTGTTCCTACTGTGCAATCAGGCAGCCACACATTGCTCTGATGACACAAAACAGAACCCCAGGCAATTTACCTTCTTTGTAAGCCTTGATTATCTCTCTGATCTGCGCTTTTGTCCGTGATGCCAGGATCTCTATGATGGTATCTTCGCTTGTTCCTAGACCCTTTAATTGAAAACAGTGGGGAAAAGTGGAGAAGGGTATCATTCAGTAAAATCCATTGCTAAAGAAGTATCATAAAGTGAGCAGGCTGATGGCAGGAAAACGTTGAGCTGGGTGCTGAACACTTAGGATGAGAGCTTGGGACACACTTGGCCTGGGCACAGATTTGTTGACTAAAATACACAGGTTTTAAATTTTAATTTCATGCACCTGTGTTCTTTTACAATGCATTTTTGGWTCTGAATCTTTGATGACAGACCATGAGCCCAACTCTTGCCCAGTCAATACATCTGTGTGCCATTTTCATAGACCTCTCAATCTGTGATTTTAATGATACTGTATGAACAGGTAATGCCCAGCCCCAACCTGACCCTCTTGCAACCACTCATCGATTTCTTAAAGACTTCACTTCTCATGTGGAGTGTCAGGGCAGCAGTCTGGCCTGAGGTCATTGGTCTCCATACACAGTAAAGAAGGATTTAGCTGGAAACTAGCATTTGTGGATTACCATTCTTGGACAAAGCAGAATTTTAGTTCTGCTGTTGCCTTCCCCAAACTCTACAAGATATGTAGAAAAATCAAAATGTAACAGTAAGTATTAAAGTAGCATTTTTTCCACCATAAGTGTGCTTTAATAGAACAATTGACTATATAGTTTGTTATCYATAATAACCTGAGAAACTGTATCACACTGTTTCTTAATGGCAGCATGCAAGTAACTCACCCTCATGGCATCATGAAGCTCCTTGGCATCATACTTGAAAGGGGAATACATGAGAGCTACAATGAGCCTCTCAAAATCACCACTCAGCTCCGACTTCAAGCTTTCGATCAGATCCTGTTAAACATGCACCACAATTTTTTTTTTTTTTTAAGGCACTACTCATTGTCCAATATTGCTCTTTTGTCCACCTGTCTCAAGCCCTTACAGGGTACTCCTGCTCTCTTCAAGAGTCTTTGGAGATTCCTCTTCTTATGAGGACCCAATAGCCTATATTGCTTTATTCCTGCATGCCTCCTTTTTTGTGTTTAACTGACTCTCACACAACTGCATTTACAGTAGGGCTGGTTCAAGTTTGTGGCACAGAATGTTTCCTGATAAAAATAAGATTTTGTCCAAGCCAGAAAGGCAGACACAGGAAGAAAAAAATAGCTTCAACAAGTACAGTTTGCTTTCCTCTTAAAAATATCATTAGAAATAGATCTTTGATTTTTTTTTTCCATAATTTAAAAGGACCTCAGATAATTTTTAATCCAAATGACACTTAAGAGGATAAATTGTTATAATTTCAAAACCAAAATTAGATTATACTTTAAGTAGATTTAAACATATATGTTTCTGGAAAAAATGTCATTTTCAGGAAAATAGCAATCTTGGAAGAAATCCAGTTTTTCCACCAAAATATAACACATTTGTCCCAGTCCTTACAATTAAATATCAATGTATTTCCAGACGATCTGGAAATTGTTTGAACCAAGCTTGCAGAATGAACTATACACTCATCTGCTTCATCCTGTGTGCAGTGAAAACGTGACTGAATATTTTAAAAGAACCTTTCCAAACTGAGCCTTGAAGGATTTGGCAATCTCTTGACGCTGCATATTGCTCCTCTTGGTTAGGACATCAATTATAGCTTGCTCATCAGTCCCTAGGGAGAACARCAATAAACCATTAGCACAGCGCACAGTATCAGTTGAGACTAGTCCCAAATTCAGCTTCAAGTACTCAGGCAGCCTTTCCTAATTCACTGCTTTTATGATGTAGAGACTTAAGTATTTCTTAATGAAGCTTTAATTTTGATTTCTCCACATAAAAACACAACATCTCTGGCCTCAGTTTTCCTAAGAAATGGCTTTCAATCAGAATATTATAAGCTCAACACATAAGAATTTACACATGTGATTGATATTAAATGAAGACAACTCACCAAGTCCTTTCATGGCTTTGTACAGAGTCTCAGCATCAGGCTTGGGGTCAAACCTCAAAACACCTGTCACAGACCTGCCCTCCTCTTCACTCTGAAAGAAGAATATAGGGCTTTTTCTGCTGCTTTTCATTAGCTGAATAGAAAGCATTTTGGAAAGGAAATTAATGTTACTGTCCCTACCCTACACCTGGGGAAGACACAGGAAAGTGCAGGAGTTGCTTCAAAGTCATGTGCTCCAAGCAGACCATGTTTCCTGCCTCTCGCTGGCCACACCAGCCCATGGCTCTGGCTGAAATGTGAAATGCAAAGCAGGAGAGCGTAAGCTACACTGTTATGACAGCCTAAGTGCAGGTGGTCCCAATAGGAAAACGTTGAATAGGCTGAAGAGGTTGGACTCATCATCATCAAAACCATCTTCATCATCAACCATCAAGAGAGGTTTTGATGCACCTCTTAAAGAGAAAGATTCAAAGCACATACTTCGTTACACCCTAAGGAAAAGTGGCAGGGACCTATTTTGTACAAGGTCATCCAAATTCTCTCTTGAAAAAATGGTCCCTGGAGAAGAATCCTTTCTGAGCTAATCTTGACACAATCATTGCCAGGTAGAAGAGTTTCTTAAACTTCCATTCAGGATTTCACTCCTGTTTTTAATGACAATCTGCAAGATGAATACTGGACACTACTGAACACATGGTCAAAAATGCAAAGTCAAGCCTRGCACCACAGGCAAGGCATGAGCTGAGGCTCAGGATGATGGTGCAAGCCAGCCCTAGTGCCCTCGTGCAGCGCTCTGCTGGCAATCATAGCTGGCCTGTGCGTGTGCCGAGCTCTGGGGTCAGTGACAAGGAACTAAAAGGTAACAATGCCCAATGAAAGAGGATAATGTGTTCAAAAGTAGAAGGATCTGGAAACCCTCCCCTGTTCACAGCTTTTTGTCAGCATGGGACCATCTGGAGGGCCATCCCACCCTGCCACAGGCAGGGATCAGTAGGGAAAGGAGGCTCTGGACAAGTTATCCTCAGCCCTATAGCTCTTTTCAAGAGGCAAGAGGATCCTCTCTAGCTACGTGCTGCAGACTAGCTCTGGATCTGCGCCCAGTAACTCAGGGAAAGAGGGAGTGCAAAGCTGAGCTTTCATTTACATAGAGGTTGGAGTAGGTGGGAACCAGAGGACTCTCTAAACTAATTCCAATTAAGATTTACAGCCCATGGTGGCTCAAGTAGCTCACTCATGACTCACATACTACACCTCATTCTTTGTGCAAATAATTGCTTCAACAAGGGTGCAATCACTTCAGCTTAACACAGAAACCCTGTTCCATGTGGTATCTTTTCCAGCATGAACTGATCCTATAATTACCTGGCTGAAACTACTCAAAGCATCTGTGTAACTGTCAGGTGAAGATGAATAATTGACAGGAAAGCAGTAAAATCAGTGTACCTTACCACTGGTGCTCTGAAAAGCTTTAATTTATAAATGAAAACAAGGGGGATAAAAAATTTCCTATCAAAATATTTCAAATCTAAATTAGGATTTCTTGAAAGCCCAAAATTCATGGGGACAGGKGGAGTTAACCTTTAGATCTTTAGAAAATTCAAGAATAAATTTCATCTTTTTCATTTATTCAGCTTTAAATTGTAATTTCCATGAAGAATTTGGAAAATCAAAACAAATGTTCTTCCTTTGTCCTCTCATGTTTTCTCCACACCTCCACCCCATACAACACCAATAGAAAGAAGATTTCTCTAGTTTTCATATGCTTTACTCCTTTTACTTTTTCACTCTGTTTTCAAACTATTTCCAGCTTGAGTGGAAAAAAGGGGGACAGGGGTGGTGAGGAAAAGCAAAAATTAGTATGTCTCCTTCCAAGCAAAGCCTGCACGTTGCTGGCAGTGCTGCTGGGCAGCTGGTGGCTCTCGACACCCAGCTTTTCCCTCACAGCTCCTGCTTCCCATGGCTGTGAGCCTGGGTGGGCTCACGGAGGGATCCCCACGTCCCGGCCTCTGGCACGAGGCCAGGCAAGCGCTGCCACCGAGGTCAGCGGGGCCACACGTGGCCCCAGGCGCCCTCCTCCCGGCGCTGCCGAGGAAGCAGGTGCCCCRAGCCACGGCCTGCCCAAAGCCACAGAAATCCCCAAGGCACCGTGCCCTGTGACGCTGCCTTCAGCAAGCCAGCGCCTGCCCCGTCGCATGTCACAGCAGGCTGCAGTTACGCAAAACCCAGCGAGAAAAAGGACACTGCAAAAYGCACCGAGAAAACGGACCCCGCAGCTTGGTCGCGGTCTCCCTCGGTGGCTTGCAACTGGAAACAGGGATGAGGACGAGCCCAGCGCCCTGAATCCCTGCCCAGAGGGGGAAGCAGAGCCCAGGGCTCAGCCCCTGCACCACTGTGCCACGTAGCCAGGTGCTCAAGCACCCGGCACCCGCTCAGCCCGGAGCTGGGAAGAGCCTGAGCATTTGCCTCGAGCCAGCAAGCAGGTGAGCACCTCCCCTACTCAAAGCTTTGGAAGCCCTTCAAAAACCTTTTTAGTCAGATAAGCAGCAAATAGGCCTGGCAGATTTCTAAAGGGAAGCATTTCATTTCCACACAGCCACTGATGCAATGTTATTGTGGTGCCGATACAAAGAGGCTCCCTTTGATATTTCCTCTACTTACCCAGGCCTTCCACCACGCCATTGCTGTCTCAGTAGCTGTTTCTCGGCCTGTTCATGAGTAAAACCACACATTTTACAACTCACATTAATGGAACTGGGTTGGGGAGGGAGGGAAGGAGCAGAGAAGGAAGAAAGAAAAGTTCTTTCCAATAAACTCACCGCAAGAAAATTAGAATAACTGTGCCTCTCACAAGAGGTTTATTCCCTCTGGAAACTACAGGCGTAACTGGCTTCTCTGTGCTGGGAAAGCACAGGTATAAATCACCTCTAACTATCAGTTCCACAGGGCAACACCCTCAGACATGGCTCAACCTGTTTTTCACATATGATCTCACAGGGAGAGATCAGGTTGCTTCATAAACCCGGCTTCCCTTGTGAAGAGCCCTATATTCAACCTCAGTTGACTAAAATACACTTTAATTTTTCCACTGAGCCTCCCTTCTGCCACCCCAGTGTKTTAGCCTCTGGCACTGACACAACACAAACTACAACCAGGTAATTCCCGAGTAAGGCTCCACTGGGACTCAGGGAGTTCTGCCACAACTAAATAGGCCACTCGCTGTTAAGGACTGGTTCTCTCACCCAATCTGTCCCACAGCAAAACAGGACACCCAAACTTTACAAACCCTCCCCAATTTCCCTTCCTTCAACAAGGCCTACTAAAACAAAAGTCATGTCCTACCTTGTGCAGTAAAGCAGCAGACGGTACAAAGAGATTTGGGAGGTCCCTCCCTGTCCCTTGGCTAGACTTGCATGACAAGAAACATGAAGTCTCTAGGCTAGCATAGGATTAGTACATKGAGGTTCATTTCTTTCAGTGGCGCCCACCTTGACAAGATTATCATGGGACTTGTGCTAGCTACTGTTTTGCATTAAGGTTCTGCAGTAGACTTATTTTTTTCCCCCTTTTTTATGTTTGTTTTAAGAAGAGATGAACAGCTCTTAATACATTAATTTGAATAAGCGTTCCTGTGAAATTAGCTGAAATATCTTACGGTTGTAGCAATATTTTCCTGTCTAGACTTTGTCAGAACTCACCCGTGCCAGCATTTATTTATTTATTATAAATGGAAAGCTGCCCTGGTGGAAACATTCCCACCAGCTCTAATCTTAACCCTTGCTACGGAGGGACTTTGTCCCCTCTCCCAGTTAAACACCCCCACGCTGGGTAAGTGCCAAGCTATGGACCTCTCTTACTGCCTTCCAAAAAACGATTCTTTGCTTAACTCAACAAGATCCCCTATGGCCTGGGAAACTGCCCTGGTTATTCCCACTGGAACCAGCTGTGCCGGCTGCTCCCCTCCAGACACATCCACCGTATGGTTGGGACAGTCTGGCTGCAAGAGCGCTCCCGGGAGGAGGAATCCTTGCCTGGATGCAGCCAGCACGCAGCTGGAGCCTGCACTGCCTTGGCCTCTCATGGTGCAGGGGCAGGGCTGTGATCAGCACACCGCGGGCACGGCTCCGGAGCGGGGCGCACGGCTCCGGAGCGGGGCGCACGGCTCCGGAGCGGGGCGCACGGCTCCGGAGCGGGGCGCACGGCTCCGGAGCGGGGCGCAGAAGCTGCCCTCCATGCCCAGCCTCCCAGGCAAAAGCGGCCAGAACAGGCTGGGCTCTTTTCGCTGGACCCCAGGGCTGCGCCTGGCTGCTTCCACATGCCTTTTCCCTGCACAGGGATTTAATTAGGCCAGCCTGCCACAGAGGTCAGGTTTCTCGAGGGCTCTAAGGACAAAGAGGCCCTTCAAGACCGAAAATTGCAAAAGTTACAGCAAACAGCTATAGGTCACAGAGGGGAGCAGAGACTCACCCAGACAGAAAACAGGAGAAAGTCCAAGGAGACATTTTTGCAAGAATGAACTGGAAAGACTGTGCAGGACACTCAGAGGGGATTTTAATGGGAGAATTATGTTTCAATGCGCAGAAATGGTGGCCAGATTTTAAGAAATCCATACAGACAGGCAAGGTAAGGTCTGGAGAAGCTGAACGCTGAGCAGTCCATATCCAAATGGAGTAGTACTGCTCTGAACCGATTCCTGCTCCTCAATATTCATCGTATTTTAACATGCTAATAAAAAAATTAATCATTTTCTCATGTGAGTAGTGAATCTTATTCCAGCCTCAGCATCTGGTGAATGGAGCTTCAGTGCAGCAAGGCTCAGAGCAGAGCAGCTTTAACAGGCCWGAGCAGAGGGCACCCTCAGGCCCGTGCAGCAGAGGCAGGCACCACAGACTGCCCTCTCTTCTGCCTGAGCTTTGCTTAAAACAGCCCAGCTTAACATAAACAGACTGATCTTCCCATCTTGGCCCTTCCTTAATGCAGGAACTTGCTCACCTGCACAGCAGATCTGTGGTTCCTGCACTTTGTAGCAGAGATGTACATAGCACCAGCAAGCCAAGGAAGGTGTAGCCTCACATATAACTGATTCTCTCCAGAAATACGTGAAAATTCGGAAGACAGGCAGGAGATAATGAATGGATTCTGCTGAGCCTCCATGACACAAACAAAAGTCATTTCTACATCACAGATAATATACATCTTGGAAAGCAATCTCCACTAATAAGACTGTCAATAAAAACCCCACCCCAGGATCACACTGAGGTAGTTAAATTTGACTCAGAGAGCAGTCCTGGCTGCCCACRCTCTGGAGCACTTAGATACCCCACAACACACAGTCACACCTCAGTTACTTGCAAAAGGGCTACCTGGGCAGTGGATTGCAAGGACAGCCACCCCCAAAGCATCTCTGCAAAAGAGATTTTCTCTGGCCTCATCCCCATTTACTTTTTACTGCCTTCAGCTCCTGCTCCTCCTGCTGTGCCCAGCTGAGCCAGCCTGTGCACAGCCATCATCTAGCAAGAGAGGGCACAAACCTCCATCAGGAGCAGCACGTGGCCCACAGCCAGGTTTGGCGTGTGGCTTTTAAAGCCATTTGTTTCAAATCAACTTGCAGCTAGATGAAAATGAACAAGCTGCCACTGTGCTTGGGTTTTCTTGACTTTGCCCCTGGGACATTCCAGGCTTGAATGAGGCACCTTGGAGCTGCTCTGATACAAACACAGCCAGTGTAGGAGAACTTTTATGAAAGAACTCATATGCAGGATGGCTCTATCTTGCTCAAAACCATAAAGAGTTAAGATATAAGTAAATGAGCTGATAACCTTAGGAAGATGCTTTACTACCATTGAAGCTTTTACCAGCTATTAAACTCTGGCTGCTTTGTTTAGTGAGAATGAGAGCTGTTTAAAGCATGCTTTAATTCAGACTGAGGTGACTAAAGGCTTGTAGGGCACAGAGGCAGCCCCCTGTGTCCCCTTTCCCATCTGTAGGCTAGCACAGTTTGGCCACATGCCTGGAAAGTTTCAGACCAGCTGTGGGCTGCTTCCAAATGCAAGAGCTTATTCCAAGCAGGGTCTCAGATGCTCAGCTATTTCACAGCTTTCTTTTTTACTAAAATTGTGTCAGGCAAGTCAAGAAAAGCAAAGTCAGCTGAAAATTTCACCTCAAACTTTCTCTTCCTCCCCCACTCCACCTTCCCTCCTCAGCCAAACTCATATGTTTAATCACTAGGGAATAGCTGAGCAAAAGGACAGAGAGGCCTTTGTGCAAAATGATAATCTAAGAGTATAGTATGACTACTTAAAGTTCAGAAAACTAGAGCAAAACCCTCAGACCAAGCAGGCAARAGGTATTCTGTTGCAGAGCCAACAGATGAGTAATTTTCTCCAGTTCAGCCTGTAAGTAACACCACACAGAAACGCAGCTTGGACAAGGACCCAATTCAGCAAACTACAGGATTTAGGTTTACATAGCACTGAATACTTAGCACCTCACTCAGTCCTATGCTTTCCACAACTGGACATTACCTCCTTTCTTACAAACATTTTCCCCCCCTCTACTTTGTCTATCAGCATTACTCTGTCTTACCATCCAGGGCTTTGTCAGCCTTTTGACCCAGGGGCTGCCAGGGCTTGCACTCAGTYTGCAATCCCACACTACACAAGCTGTAATATTGCAGACTTTAAGTCATCCTAAAAACATCCCTAGAAATAAAGCATGACCCCCTCTGCTACTTCTTTTTATCCCTGCCCCCCCCCTTTTTTTTTGAATTAATTAATTAAATAAACACTAGCAACTGAGCACTGTCATGATTCTTAAGAGAAAATGCCCTTGTCTCTACTAATCAGGTCATCAGCACCTGAAACCAGATCATTATAAGGATGGGCTGTGTAAATTTGCTCACAGGCCAACCCAAACAAAAATTTACTGTCTGTTTGTGCAAGAGGTGTAGGCTGAAGGAAGAGAACAGATGGGGAGGACAGTCATTTTGAGCAATAAGAGCATTTATAGTTCAAAAATAAAGTCACTACAGCCTAAAAACATTGCATTCATGTACCTGGCAGCTCACTACTCCCTGTCTTTTGATCTCTTGCCTTTAAACCATCTTACATTGTGAAAATGATCCAAAAATAGAATTATTCATTTTCAAAAATCACTAGCTCAGTTTCACTTTCCAGGTTTCCTTAATTACATACAGCAAGCAGCTTTGTGCCTAGTATCATAGGAGCAAATTTGCATCTTAGATATTTTGGAGGTTGTTCAATTATGGAGGCAGCAGCAGAGAAAAAGATGAGGGCCTGATGCCACCCATCACCTTGCAACTCATTAGGCCGAGCCCTGGGGTCAGTAGGGATAGTCAGTGCTGTGTGGGATTACACAGAGAGGTTATTAAAGGGTGTGCCAGCTTCATCTTTACAAAGTACCTTTGCCACGCAGCGCCCCTCGGATGCAGGTGGAACAGCCAGGGTGAAGCACAAGTACAGCACAGCACATCATCCATCTCAGCTTGCGCTGCCTCTGCTCCATTTCCACTCTGATTCAGACTGAATCAGACTGAAAATAAAAAATGCTGCAGCATTTTTCTCTATTCATTCCTTTCTTGCACTAGTTGACATCAAGGAGTTCTTTGCCRTCACACTAACAACAAAGCTGGCATTTGCTGCTCTTGTTTAACCCCAAAGGCCAACAAAGAAAGAATCTTCTGAATTAAAATGGAGAAAAGATGTTCTCTTGGGCCTAATGGGGACATGGCAGATGCGAGGAGTCTGAACGCCAGCAGTGGGTACAACACAGTGCGAAAGAAGCCTTCAGATGCTTGTGTGTAAAATGTTTTGTGCATGTCCTCACCTACCTCTATGTGAAGTATTTTTTATTTAGCCTTTGATGGAATCAATCCTGGCATTGATACATAACTAGAAACTGCTACTGCTCAAAGTGCCCTGGTGATAGAGAAGGAAGTCTACAGTGGCCCACGTGAGGAGAGAGTAAGTCCCTGGATGTGTCCAAAATCCGGCTACTTAGCCTTCAAAGAAGTAGGAAGGTAACAACATACCCTTTATTGTTCGGAGTCTGACATGGACAAGACAGATGCCAAGATGAAATGAACACAGCATCTTGGAGCAGTGCCCGTGAGATACTAGCTTGTATGTCCACAGGTAGACTCAGGAACAGAAGTGAAGTGACAGTCAGGAGGATTGTATCTGCCCATCTGACAGTCAGGGTTCRTGTATCTGGAGGATTTCACATGGCAGATGTCTCAGTATTAACCCGGGGCTCTTGGGCAAGCACGGCCCAGCTCCCCACCGTGTGTGCCCGCTTGAAACGCGCAGCGTGGAGACGGGCTCACGAGAGCTGCCCCGCTGCCAGCTCAGCAAGCGCAGAAACTGCCAGCGACAGGACACAGCTGAGCAAGGAGCTCCCAAGAAYGGGAAGGAAAGAGCCAGGAAGGAGAGAATGACCATGGTGGGGCCGAAGGAGGAGCTGAGGAGGGAGCGTTGGACGGAGGAAGGGAGACAGCAGTAGGGCCTACTCCAAGCTGCCCGCCTGCCTCAGGCTGCAGCTATATAAATATATCCCGCTGCAGCGGGAACAGAGCGCATGGAGCAGCTGAATTACTAGGATACAGTTACCTGGCTACAGGGCTGCTGTTCAATGCCCCAGAAGTGCTGAACATAGGTCCAGAGCTTAACATCACCAAGACCCCCTAGGCACCACACCACTTTCATTGCGAGGGGTCAAGTTTGGTGCAAGATGCACAACAAGAGGTGCTACTGGAGAGTAGACTGGGAAACAGTTGTATTCTCCACCGCTGAGCATTGCAGTGCTGCAGAAACAATATGAGATCAGCAGTTGGTTTTTCAAAGTAAACCATGTTTGCTTTTGTTCAAACAGGCATCTGGGAATCTTGGCAGTGCTTCAGGCAATCCTATGAGTGGCCATAGACACCATTTGCATCACAAATTGATGGTAACAGAGAAACAAATGAAAACTTATCCTATTTGACTTTGTCAGTTCCCATTTCCAAATTTCCTGTCCAAGGACAGTTTTTCAGCTCTCACTGATGTGAGCGTGTGCGTATGGGTGTGTGTCTACATGAAGTAATTCGAGCAAATGGATACACTGCTGCCTAAACTCCCTTCCAAGAGYACAGACATGCAACCCTGTGGAGAAAAGCGACCTGGCCTCCCTGAGCCAGGAGGCTGATTTTTTTTTTTTCCCAGCAGTGCTGATATTTCCCTGTTCTGTTCTGAAGAAGGCTGAGCCAGCAGCTCAGCCTGCCAGGGCTTCTGCTTCACCACGGGAAATAGGTTGTCGCGTCCTGCCCTCCAGTGGCAGCCCAGGCCAGGCAGGCCGGAGCCACCGCACCGCCCCGCTCCAGGGAAGAGCCAGGCTGCTTTGACCCCCACCCTGTCACCTGGAAACGCTCCGGGACACACAGCCGTGTTTTGGGGAATACCCTCCCTGAAGGAGTCACTGGTGATAAATACATGGATAAATACATGGATAAATACATGGACTTGGTTCAGTATCTCTGGCTGACAGAGATCACTGGTCACATGCATGTACCACTCATCACAAGGGTCAAGAGCCTGTCCCGATGGAGGATCAGCACAGTCAGGAGCTTTGGAAAGGTCCCACACTTTGACCTGTTGCGTGTCCCCCTCCACCAAAGCCACCATCCTCCTCCTCAGCGCTGGAGAACCCTGCGCTGCCAACGCCAGGACACTGAGCACGCTGGAGTCAGGGAGCAGGGCCCAAGTGGCCAGTCTAGGCAGTGCCATGTGCAGTGACCACCTCCAGCCAACCTCTGAGCTCTGGGGACSTGTGTCCAGCAGCCTCCCCTCCTGCAGGTGACAGCCCCACCAAGGAGTTGTGCTCAGGATCATCTCCTGAAGGTGTCTCACTGCTTCCTCCTAAGGTTGGAGGTGGAGGGAGACCTTCCCCTCAGCAGAGGGTGCAGAAAGGTCTGGAGCCAGGGCCTAGCTCCATAGAGCCAGGGCCATAGAGCAGGGACTGCAGTCCCCACCTCTCATGGTGACACCCAGCCAGATAACACCRGTACAGCAAAGCTGGGAGAATTACAGAGGTTTTTCCACCGTGGGGCTTGGAAGAGTTCTATGCAGAACTTGGCCTCTTGGCCAGGACTATCCTGGTGAAGCAGCAGACTGCTGGTGGGGCCCAGTGCTCCTCCACAGCTTGCCATCCATATACATGTTGTCTAAAACTGGCAGAGATACGAGATGCACTTTGCTGCAAAAACACCCACTTGCTATCTTTACACTTATTTCCTGCTATTGAATTGAGGCCTCTTGTGACCTATCCAAGACACCTGAATGCCAGACATGTATCATGCACATAGCCAGCAGTGGAACACTGTCCCACCTCTTCCCTCTGCTACCCAGAGAGAAAAGCTGGCATCTGCTGAGGTTCAGCACTCATGGCTTGGGATGAGCAGTGCCCGAGCAACGCCGAGGGCTGGCTCTGCTGTGGTTATATCATGGGAAGGAAGGCAGGAGTCAACACTGGCCCTGCCAGCCACAAAAATGACTCTGTGCCACCATTTGTAAGTCTCTTGGGCAAAGGAGTAGAATGGGATTCAAGGAGGATGCAGAAAACTCACCTTTCAGATGTTCCTCCTAAGAGACTATGGTGGAGCTGCTGTCTGAGCTCATTCCGGACATCCTGCCTGCGCTTCCCTCCAAGGTGCTTGGTTCAGCAGGCCGGCATTGGAGGCTGACCTGATTCTGAGTTCCTGAACACGACAGGGAGGGAAATGAGCTAATTCCTGCTCTGACCTGTGAGTCCTTAATGACATCGAAACCATCAGAATTAGCAAAATTCAGAGGGCAGAGGGCAGTCTCCAGTGCTGGTGGAGAACCACGATTCCTCCAAGTCAGCTTCTTCCCTAGGAGAGTACTAGTGCTGTGAGGTGGCTTCCCCACCAGCCTTGTTATGGTGGCTCGTGGCTCACCTTCCCTTGCAGAGCAGCCAGCTCCAAATGGCCTGACAAAGAGCTGCCGTAGGCTCCAGCCCCACTGGGCTTCCGCTGTGCTGGGAACCCAGAGCCCACACACAGCTGAGCTTCCTCTGCTGACACCAAGGACGAAAATCAGTCCGTGTACCACTCCAGCACCGTGGCTGCACTGAAGTCTTCCTGGGTCACTACATTCTTCTGTGTCCTCTATGCAGACTCATACTGCATAAATCCAAATACTCTTGCCACCAGAGAGAAAATCTGTACCTCTATGGTGGATATTTTGGGTCTAAGACATTTCTGCAAAGCCCCTATTTCTATCATACAGGAAGAGAGAATTCGCATCTAAGAAGCACATGCCAGAGATTCAGCAAGATGCAGGAGGGCACCAGCATGGACAGAGGGCAGCTCAGTTGCTCTGTGGAAGTGACAAGCTAGCACGAGGAGAGCTCATTGCATGACTCCATGGCAGACACACAGATGGGGTTATGTAAGGACCCAAGTATTTATCTATGCATGCCAGTGATGCATCTCTGAAAGCTTAACTGGAAACATTTCTCAATCTGCATGACACACACACAAATCCTTTCATCAGGATTTTTCTTCATTCACTATTTTTTTGCAGGACTTGTAGAGATTTCATTTCATTCTGGGTGTCTCAACTCTTCTCTCCCAAGCTACAGT